TACTTCGGTTCTTCATACCAATGCTTATTCTCAATAAAGGATTCCAAAGTGCTTTCAAATAAGAAAGGCTACACGGAGTTGTCTACACAGAAGGCAGGAGTCCTGTTTACAACAAAAACGTTGAAGGATCACAGTCTCGAATATGCTCAAACACGGGACCAATATAACCGTACCCAAAGCACTCTTGTTGCTGAAGTTGTCTCCATTGCCGGTGAGTAAGCTAATGGGCGATAGGCTTGCACTAAATGTTGTAAAGGGACCTATACAAGTGTATTAGAAGCGGTGGACGATGTGATCGCGCATTTAGACGTGATTGTCAGGTATGTGTTTCTTTGATGATCAGTGATATCATCTCACTGAGCAAAAATGATAGCTTTGCCCATGTTTCTGCAAACGCCCCGATATCGTACGTGAAGCCAACTGTCACAGAAAAAGGAACAGGAAATCTCCTCCTTAAAGAGGCTCGGCACCCTTGTCTAGAGGTCCAGGAAGAGATCAATTTTATACCAAACGATGTAGAAATGATTCGAGGTGCGTTTCAATGATCCCACATACATTATTTCTTCTTTCTCACGCTGCAGTCAGAAAAAAGCGAGTTTCAGATAATCACGGGGCCAAATATGGGTGGTAAAAGCACGTATATTAGACAAGTACTCAGCTATCTATTTAAGTTATTAGTCCACCCTAACATAATGGCAGATTGGTGTAATCGCCTTGATGGCACAAGTTGGGTGCTTTGTTCCATGTTCAAGCGCTGAAATACCTGTTTTTGATTGTATTCTGGCTCGTGTCGGGGCTGGAGACAGTCAATTGAAAGGAGTATCGACTTTCATGGCGGAAATGCTGGAAACAGCAACCATTCTCAGGGTAAGCATTCCAAATTTGAGATGTCCGTTTTAATAATTGGCCAAGACTGCCACCTCCAACTCCTTGATAATCATCGACGAACTTGGTCGAGGTACCTCCACTGCAGATGGATTCGGAATTGCCTGGGCAATTTCAGAGTACGTTCATCTCTTTTGGTGCCATCGGGAGCAGAAGTTAAATCAATTGCAGGCATATAGCTACTCAAATTCGGGCATTTTGTCTATTCGCAACCCACTTCCACGAGCTAACGACCTTATCACAACAAGTCGGGCACGTAAAAAATGCTCACGTGATCGCACACGTCTCTGAAGGGCAGACAAATAAAGACAGGGATATCACACTCCTCTATAAAGTGGAAGAAGGTCAGTCTCATCATAAACCTGGGCATGCAATTGCTCATTCGATATAGGGGTTTGCGATCAAAGTTTTGGTATACATGTGGCACAGCTCTGTAACTTCCCAGAGAGTGTCATCAAGGTCAGCCATTTCGTTTACGTTCCATTGGACTCGTCTAATGATAGTGCAGCACGCCAAGAGAAAGGCCGAAGAATTGGAAGATTTTGGCAGTAAGTGTAACCTTTGGTGAATAAACAAAGCTGACGAGCATGTAG